ATTCTATGTTATTAGCTATTAATGGTTTCTGATTGAAAATGGAAAAATATACTTTACTATTTAGCATAGTAAAAGACATCTGTATTAAGAAATGAAGAAACCAATGTATGAAAATTCAAGTAACTATTAATTATGATCAGAATTTTATTTTTATTTGAGTGAATTTTATTTTGCTTTTGAACAGTAGGTATTCTATTCTTAGCACATTTTTAATGAACCAAAGGTAAACATTTTGTTATATCATTAAAATGATTAGTTTCACTATTAACTCATTGAGTTCTTTTTTTAGGAAGAAAACTAGAAATAGTGTCATGAATTTGTGATAATCTGTTTTATTCTACTTCACCATGAAAGAGTTTTTGTTTTGTTTTGTTTTTTGAGATTCCACATATAAGTGAGATCAGATGGTATTTGTCTTTCTTTGACTTATCTCACTTAGCATAATACCCTCAAGGTTCGTCCATATTGTTGCAAGTGGCAGGATTTCCTTCCTTTTAATGGCTGAGTAATATTCCATTGTGTATATATACTGCATTCTTTATCCCTTTGTCCATCACTGGACACTTAGGTTGTTTCCATGTCTTGGCTGTTGTAAATAATGCTGCTGTGACAAGGGGGTGCAAGATAGCCCTTTGACGTAGTGTTTTCTTGTCCTTTGGATATATTTCCAGAAGTGGAATTGCTGGATCCAAAAAGATTTTTTTAAGTTAATCTCCTACATACAGTAATTGCTTTCTGATAGCCTTAGGTCTAGTGATTCTAGAAGGTTGTGAGGAAATAAAAGTTGCTCCTGCTATAATCCTCAAAGAGTCCTTAGCGATGCTGCGAAGAGCTGATGCTGCAACAGCTACTACAAGAGAGGGATGGAGAAGAGGAATCTGTCCAGAGTAATAAACTTGCAAACCAGAGTTAGAATGCTCCCAGAATAACTTTAAGGCTAGTTAAACTCCTTAAAGTTACTCCATGGAACACTGCTCAGAGCTCGCCATTACTTTTGGTCCAGGGACCTGGACCAGCTTTGCTTCCGTCAAGGCCAGAACGCCTCTGGATCCCAGCGTGTCTTAGAGCTCTCTCTGTGTCTGTCTGTCGTCCCAGTCCACTCCTGGTGGTCCCGAGAGGCCTCATAGGGCCAAGGTTGCTGAGCACCTGTTTGTTGTTCCTTCTCAGGACTTTGCTTTATCTTAAGAAGGGAACAACAACAAAAAAGAGAGTAAATGGCCACTGGCCTCAAAACATAATTGCCCCAATAATCAGTAATGGTCACAAACTGTGATGATGGACCTCTTGAGAGTGAAGTGTAGGGGTGAGCTGAACCACGTCCCAGGCCCCGGTTAGAGAAGCGATGCTGGAAAACCATAAAATATGGCAGGCTCCCAGACTGAAAGTGAGCATCTGAGTGGGAACCAGCGCGACAGTCCAGAATGATGAGAGGAAGCAATCCTGTGAGGCCCTGGACCATAGCGAGGAGGCTAAAAATGCAGATGTCAACTTAAAGCAGCATGCATTTGATAAAAAATGGTTTCATGGGATAAAAATTCAAAGATCCCTTAAGTGATGTTTCCTTGGGACTTCAAGTTGGTTTAAAAGAAAAAAAAAACGCTTCTATATCTGAGGACTGTCAAAGGAAATCAGGACTTGGCAAATAGGATACTGTAGGTAAAATGAATAGGGAAAACCTTACCATTTTCTCATATCCTAGAGAACAGGAAAGACTCCACCCTGGAGAAAAACATCTTGAATATCACAGGGATTTAGCACACAGCATATGGCAGGTATTAAACTCTGTTAACTAGCTTGGTCCAAGGAGGGTTACAGTGGAAGAGCACAGAGGAAGTGATTTTTTTTTTTTTTTTTTTGAGGAAGATCAGCCCTGGGCTAACATCTGCTGCCAATCCTCCTCTTTTTGCTGAGGAAGACTGGCCCTGAGCTAACGTCCGTGCCCATCTTCCTCCACTTTGTATGTTGGATGCCTATCACAGCATGGCTTGCCAAGCGGTGCTATGTCCACACCTGGGGTCCAAACTGGTGAACCCCGGGCCGCCGAGAAGCAGAACATGCGAACTTAACTGCTGCTCCACTGGGCCGGCCCCAGGAAGTGATTTTTGGTGGACCTTAATAGATGAGTGAATATGGGGAAATATTTATTTATGTATAGTATTTATTTTGGTATTTAGCAAGTGCCCATTTATCAAGGTCACTCTACCCTGAACGCTAGCCTGGCTTTGTGACGTGCCTTTTCTGCAAACTCCTAACAACCCCGCCATGTTGGTTATCACTCTCATTTTAGTCGTGAGAAAACATGCTCAGCAAGAGTAAGGAATTTACTCAGGCCACTCACCAAGTAAATGGCAGAATTGGCTTTCAAATCCTGCTCCATTTGAAATCCCTTGTTCTTGAACCCATATGAATGGAATTGATGGGGAAGATATTGTCCATTATGGACACGCTGCTTGAGTAGATAGAGCTGAAGTGAGTTCAGGGAATCAGAAGCGACATTGTCATTTGGTTAGCATCCTGGCGTCTTTCTCTCAAGCTGATAAGCTCTCTTACCTTGGCTGTGTCTTTTTTTTTTCCCTCCACTTTGACTGCTCTCCATTCTAATTTTAGAAATATCGTTCCCGAAGTAAAGATGCTGGGGGATGGGGTTAGGCTGTTCTTCCTTCCTACTTGTATGCTCTATAAAGCTGATTCCCATATAAACCTCCGTATCTAACGGCAGCGTGATTGATCATGGGAGGTAAGCCAAGGAAGGAGGCACATTCTAAATTGATGTCTTAGTCTAAGAACATAAAATGATGATCTATAGCCCTGGAATTATGTGCCAACCATCAGGGCCCCTTTCATTTCTTTTTCTTTTTTTGCAATATTTCCTCTTCTTGCTACTTGGATGCTTGAGAAGTTGAGCACTGCATAAAAGACATGAGATTTTCCATGGGACCCCTTGTGGAATTGTACATTTTAAATTTATGCCTTCCAGTGATGAAAAAAAAATATGGTACACCTAAACTCTGTATCCTACAAGGAATAAAAGAACCCTAAGAGAAATGAAAGATCATGCTAGAATTTAAAAAAAAAATCTTGGATCTCTATATTTTTGTGGTCAGAAACTCTCCTGAATAGTGGATGGATCTACTCAAGGAAAGTCTATTTCTAGCGTTAAAACTGCGTCTGATTAAGACTCCATCTTATTGAAAAGGGCACCATCGTATGGTGCTAGTTGTGGTTTAAAATGGTGCAGCCCAATTGCACAGTAGTTTGGAAGAGAATTTTAAAAGGTCTTAGTAACTCTTGGCTTACCATGCTACCTCTGGGAATCTGTCCTAAGGGAAGAATTCTAATTAAGAGGCTTTTTTGTACAGAGATCTTTTCAAAGCAGAAGGTTTATCATAGTGGAAAAAAATTGTAAACCTACACGTCAAAAAAGAGTGAATGGTCAAGGTAATTTTTAAAATAGACAAAAAAGTATATCACATGAAAAATACCAAATTACTTTAAAAACTGTGTGAAAGTTAAATACATTATGATTGTAGCTATGGGAATAAAATTGATATTTTTTTTTAAATTTCAAAAACAATGGAAACATTATCACGCTATCAAGGATTGTGTTTCAGTGGTAGAACTATGGGCAACTTTTATTTCTCTCTTTTTTGTAAGTCCATGTTTCCATACGAGAAGCAACACCTCTTTTATCATTAAAAATTGTAACGGATACCAAGATTTGGATTTCAGATATTTAATTCCACTTCATGTCTACTGTGCCCATATCCAGAACTTGGTCCTCCTTTCCCAGGGGATGTGGACAGATCTGAGTAACATGATTCATGGCTCTTAGCTCAGTCCTCAACCCAGACAACAGTTGGGTGGAATGGATTAACTGCGGAAAATCTGCAAATGAAGATGAGTTCTCTCTACTCTGACTCCCCCTTGTCCTCCCTGACAAGTCCAGGTGAAGAGTTTGTTAAAAAGGGAGCAACTGTTCAGAAGGAATCCACTTGCCCATAATAGGAAAGAAACACAATGCCGGTTAGAACAATACCTCTTTTCACCGTTTTTGCGCTCACCTATTTTTTCACCTTGTGGATAACAAGAATGGCCTAGATAGAGGACAAGTATTTATCTGTAAATTTTCAAAGCATCAAATAATGAAGGATAGACTAATTAGTGTTATCATCTTTAGTGACTGAGCGAACTCAAGGAGGAAAAATAATAGAATAAAAGGTCATTGCTTTCATAATTCCCTGAAGCCATGAATAATAGTTGCTATTAGTCATAAGATATGTTCCCTGTTCTGTTTTCACCCAAAATATTATACCTTTTGGAATTATCTCATTAGTTATTAAAGTAGATGTTTGGGGTGGAAGTGGCAGTCATTAAGTCCTTTTCACTGAAACCGAAGAACTGGGCGTTTTATTCCTGTGTGTGTTTCCTGATTTCCAGTTGCTACAAGCTGTTCTGTTGTAAACACATATTTCAGTAGTTCATGTCCACCTCTATTTCTCTTAGTACTTTCAAAGAGAACAGTGGCTTTTTTGTAGTTTGGAAATGGGTAGTATGTAGCTGAACACTCGGAGATTTCCTGTGTTGTGAATGCTAATACGCTGTTTTGTGATAAAGGAGCAAGGTGGAAAAAGCCACAATAATTACAACAGTTATTCAGTGTATGTTTGTGTTTGGGGGGGAAAAGTAAAGGAATGCTGTTATTTCTTTTTTTTTTTTTTTGAGGAAGATTAGCCCTGAGCTAACATCTGCCACCAACCCTCCTCTTTTTCCTGAGGAAGATTGGCCCTGGCCTATAATCCATGCCTATGTTCCTCTATATTTTATATGTAGGACACATGCCACAGCATAGCTTGACAAGCGGTGCTATGTCCGCACCCGGGATCTGAACCGGTGAACCCCAGGCCACCGAAGCAGAACATGCGAACTTAACTGCTGCATCACTGGGCAGGCTCCTGCTGTTATTTCTCTTATTTTTTTCTCCCTTCCTTCTTCCTCTTTAGACAAAGCCCGTTGCATTTGCCGTTCGGACAAATGTCAGCTACAGTGCAGCCCATGAAGATGATGTTCCGGTGCCAGGCATGGCCATCTCTTTCGAAGCAAAAGATTTTCTGCATGTTAAGGAAGTAAGGAAAATAATTTGAATTTCTATCCTCATGATTTTTCACCTTGAAACATCCTTTTTGGTTTCTTATTGCTGTGAAATAGCATTGCGCATAGCAGCACTTGTATAACATACACACAAACTCGGTGCCTCTCAAACTTTTTCTGATATAAAATATAACCTTTTTAAAGAAGGAAGAAGTCACAGTCTTCTTGCAATAACTTCAAGGTTCCCCTGGGCTCTGTGACCCAGAAATTGGGAACTACTGGAGTAGATGATCCTTTTTTATACCTAACCTGTACTTTTTCTTTTAATATTTAACCTTGACTCTGTGTCGTTTTCCCCTCATGTCTCAAGTTTAACCATCAAGGGAGCCTTTGATAATAGTATCTAGGATGCATGAGGTCTCTCTGCGGACAGTATCTAAACTCAGTGTCTAAACCACTGGTGCCCTTTATCTTCCTTCAATGGTAAATTTCTGCAATGGAAGGGAGGTTGGCAGGAATTGGAGCCAATGAGGCAAAAAACAGCAGGAAAATCCCCTTTTCTTCGTGCCAAAAGTTTCCACCTTTTCATGAACAATGATTCAATCTGTAAATTGGAAAAATTTACCCTTAATTGTAGGTTTATTTTGAGTCAACATCTGTCAAGTGCATGTCGTGCAGAACACTGTATTAGGTGACCAGAAATTCTCCCTACATGGTGTTCCTGTGTGTGAGCATCAGAGCTCCTTGGACCTGCAGGAATTTCTAATTGGAGCATGTCCATCTGGGGAATGAAATGCCCTAAGGAGCGTAGGTAAATGCAACTGCTCATACCCTGAAGGTTGTGAGCAAAGGAGGTGATGACTGCCAATTAAAAGAGCCTAGAGAATTTAGAGCCTACCATTTCATTAACTTTTAGAAAGAGATGTGAAATATTGGCTGGGAAGGAAAGATAGAAAAAGTTTTCAGAAGTGATGGCATGCCTAGAATCTCACTTTACAACAGGAAGTCTGATTAATCTAGTTTCCTTCCAATGGCTGATGCTTAGGGAAGGGTCTCTTTCTACCATGGAAGGAAAAGAAAAACAGAATGGATAGTGTTCCTTGAAATTCAAGAACAGACTTGAAAAATATGATTCACTTGAGGGAAATCAAACCAACTCATAGAGATTTAGGATAAATATTCCATCCAAAAGAGAGAAATTGTCTGCATCAACATCAGTAGAGAGATCATTTGCGGACACTGTATCATGGTCATTATAAACCTGTTTGCACGAAGGTGAATTTTGTTCTGATACAAAATATTTTGGGTAGATTGTAATATTAATCTCTCACTCTTAATACTTCTAATTAATCTGATTATATAAGAGGAGGAGCTCTGTAATACTCCCTAGTTCCTAATGGTCTCTTGTTAGGAAGAGCTGTTAATCTTTGAACGAGAAGAGTTTATCCTACTCCTGGTGACAGCAGCAGCTGCGATGGAATCCAGGCCAGTCTCAAGGCAGTACCAGGAAACAGAAGGAAGAGTAAAGCCTGCGTTGGGTCGTTGGGCACACCGAAAATACTTCACTCTTACGTGCTGAACCCATGAACCTCAGAGTTTGTTGAACTGTGATATTTGAGGCACAGTTAATTGTAATTGCCATAATAGTTCTCTCCATTGAAAATAGTTAATGCGGAAGAAAAATGATTTGACTTGAACTTCTGTGCACTGACTTCAACAATTTTGATTTCGTGTTTAGAAATTTAACAATGACTGGTGGATAGGGCGATTGGTTAAAGAAGGCTGTGAAATCGGATTCATTCCAAGCCCAGTCAAACTAGAAAATATGAGGCTACAGCATGAACAGAGAGCCAAGCAAGGGAAATTCTACTCCAGGTATGAGAGAAATATCCAATGTTTGTATAAAACTTCAGATCATACCATCATTCATGGACTGTTGTTTGCTTTCTTCCACAGCCTTTATTATGTGCTAAAAAGCAGACTGGTGATAGGGTTTATTGATGGCATCTCAAATCCTGCATTTTAAAAACTTCATCCTAGCATCTGATTTTCATCATATTTGGGAGAGAATCACAGTAATTAGTATCATTAATGAAAATAGCTGAATCATAGAGTAGTAAATTTGGACTTCCGTGCAGAGAAATTCTGAAGTCCTAATCTTTCCCTGAAAATACTTTAGCACTGAGCACCTGCACTGAATGATCCCAGTGTCTGTAACTGCCTGGCACAGCAGGAAGATGTTTTAGAAGTGAGCGTCTCAGATGTCATGGGCAAAGAGCAACTCTTGTGGCCTGTTAGTTTCATTTTCCCTTGAGAAACTCAATTTTCAGTTCTACTCACTGCTAAGCACCTAAAGAGAAACTCGAGATGCAACCAGTTAAAATCGCCTTGGCAGATAGCAATTAGGTGAGTTATGTAATAGGCTGGGGCTGAATAATCTTTCCTAGGATTCTTAGGCTTGTTTGCTCCTCACGAAGGAAGCACTGGGAGCGCTACTCAGACGTAGAGTGAACTATAAATTGAACCCTATGCAGACAAGTCCAAGAACACGGTGCGCTTCCCTCTCTGTGAAAGGATGGGATAGGGGCAAGGTTTTTCTTTAAGGTGAATAGTTGGGCTTTGTTTTCCCTGGCTTATATTTTATTTATTTATATAATGATGCAAAATCCTTTGTTAACGATAATATTTTGAGTGTTAGCAAGAATTTTTTTCCAGTGTCAGCGATCAAGTAAAATAGAACCTGCCTTTTGCTTTGGAGCATCCATCTTCATTAACTTGTATTTTATAATTGTCAGGCTCTTTTAGTTCAGATGGATTGCTCCCTTTTTTGAGACCTCTACCCTTGATATCTGACTTTTATTAATCCCTAGGTTATTGGGAGCCTGCAGATTGGGAGATACATTTAGTCATATAAAAGTAGCTGTGAGTAGATAGACATAGCATGTACATAGCATGTACATTTTACCAGTGGGATCTTGAGGATCTAATACGATTCATTCAATTTCTAGTCTTCCGTTGGCAGTTTTCTTTTGAGCACATAATCAGAATTCAGCGGTATTTAAAAACTCTGATGTATAAATTATAATAATTGACAGAAACCAAGGACAGTAGAATTGGGGCACAGCTCAAGAACATGGCATTTTTATAGAATTAAAAGTGAAGGGCAAATTTGTATGCTGATTATTTGGACTATTTGCAATGTTTGTCACAATTTTACACTATTCAAATAATACTTTGTTATTACAGTGTAAAACAAACCCGTGCTTGAACTGAAATTGACTTAGTACTTTAGAAAAAGAAAAAAAAAAACTGGAAGAAGATGTTTTTGGTCCTGGTAATGGGGATTCTTGTATAACTTCCAGAAATTGCTCCTATCAATACCACTTTTTATTCATTTTGCATACTGTCTGGTATCCTTTTAAAATGTACTGGCATATCTCTTAACAGCTTTAAAAAGATATAGAGGCCTCCCGCTAGTTTCTTAAAGTTTTTGATGTTGTCTGTTTTATGCATTAAAATGCTAGAATAGTAACAATAAACTTCAGCCTGCTACTGGTATTTTAGTGGAACTTATATTTTCGTAAGTAAATAGCACCCTTTGATGCATAGATACTAAAAGCAAATTCTTTCAACTAGACCCTGGTTTGGCTATGATAATAAACGTTAGACAATAAGATTGTCTTGCTGAAATTCCATGTTACTCTTTTAAGATATTCTCGTCTATCTTCATCTGTGAAGGCGCCATTTAGTAACATGTTATTTAGCGTGCTTGTGCACTGCTACAAACCATAAATGCTGTTCTTCCGATGTTAACTCCAAAGTTTCTAAGACACTGAGGATGTCTTGTCTCAAAGTTTAGAATTTGGAGGTTCTGAAGTATATGTTCTCCAAATCATTCCTAAATTAACCGAATTTAACCCTCCGTGTTAGCCATGCTTGAGAAATGTTCCCGATACGATCTGAGTGTTAAATCATATAACATTCTGTTTGTTGTGTTCCTTCGTGTGTCTTTTAAAAGGGTTCGCAAGCTTTGGTATTGCTGTGTTTTTCTTTTATAGGTTGCTCATGAAAACTTGAGTACTTTCAATCTTAGTACGCTGAGAATAACCAAGCTAAGACAAGGGAGCTGAATCAAAGAAGGAGACGTTGTTTTGGTGTTAGCCTTAAGGTTCTACACATCACCTCTGAGGGTCTCTAAAATAATGAGCAAAAGGAGATCTCTGCTGTTTAGTTATCTGTGGTCCTGGAAGAGAATTTGAGAACTGCAGAAATTACCCTAGTTCGCTTTCATTCTCTCAGGGCCTTTTAAAATGAAATCTTGAATTTAAAACAAAGACTATCTCATGGCTATTTCAAGTACTCCACGAATCTCCACTGGGAAATTACCATTTGCCTCCTTGTAGGAGAGACAAATTCGAAGTTCAATAAAAACACAATGAGTAGTCATGTTTATTGCCCAATACAGATGTTTTAATACCTGAAATAAGTGTCAGATTTAATATCAATTTTTGCTTTACTCCAGTAAATCAGGAGGAAATTCATCATCCAGTTTGGGTGACATAGTACCTAGTTCCAGAAAGTCTACACCTCCCTCCTCTGGTAAGTAGGTGACCAGTGCTGAACAGCACATAACCGCATTCCATGCTTTCCTCTGTCTTACCTAGTTGTGTGAATTTGCATACGCTGAATCACTACGTGACCCCTGGACGCGTTAAAAGGGATCACAAATAAGAATGCCCATATGGAGTTAGGAACAAAATGGGGACATTTTTTTCCGCATTTAGAAAAAAAAGAAAAATGTCAACATGTTCTCTGTAAGTTACTGGAGATGATCAAAGTGATCAACATTTTTAGCTTTTTATCCTAGTCCCCACCGTGGGGCCCAGCGCATTGTCGTGGGCAGTCAATGGGTGAAACTCACCAGCAATCACAGTGTGATGTGAAGTGTTGGCCGCAATTTTAAATAAAAAGAGACGAAGGATAAAAACTTTAGGAAGATGAGGAAAGGAGAATAGAGTGATGGAGTGATGATGGAGTGACATGAGCTTAGATCCAAAAGGCACTATGGAAGATGTAGAATATGTATAGAAACATGGAAAAAAGATGGAAACACTTGTAGGAAGTGTAACTACTCTTTTCTTTCTCATGTGGTGGAGAAGGACACCAAGTTAAATTTGAATTTCAGATAAACAATGAATAATTTTTTAGTATAAGTAAATATTGTATGAGCCATACTAAAAAAATTATTTATTGTTTATCTGTAATTCAAATTTAACTGAATTTTTATTTGCTAAATCTGGCAACTCTACCATTCTGTGTAGAACTTGGAGTTGTATGTATAAATAGGAAACTAATTGGTCGAATTACATGAAAGCCCATGATCAGGGTCTTTGTTTGCTAAGAGCTGCAAGTGGGAGTCAGAATAAGATGATAAGGATTGGCCAGTGGAGCATTTGAGCAAAATGATTCTGTGTGTGATTTCTAAGAAGCCGGGAGTAGGAAGAGATCGAAGACTGGGTTGTGCATCTATGGAGAAGTTAAGGAACTAGTTGTGCTGACTGGTGTGTCTTAAGAACAGGATCCACCCATTGCAAATGATCATGCCTCGTTCCTGAATGTTGGCGACTTTTAGAGACCAATCAAGGGCTGCTTAGTAAAAACTATAGGACTTTTTAAGTGAGCAAAATCTGAGTGCCACAAGAAATAAATCATTTTAGATGCATACTGATTTCAAAAACCACGTACTTATAAGTTGCAGTAATTCTCAGTTGACCACACTTAGGTAAAGTAGTATGTTTGAAATGAAAATTGAAGCCCTTTAGCTATTATGTGAGGCATATGTCTTCACATTGTGCTAAAGCAGCAGCCCCACCTACAAACGTCAGCCCTACTCTGTAGACCAGGAATATTCTTCCATCCCCTGTAACCCTACTGCAGCCTTCGCTTCGTTTTGGCAGTGTAATGGGAGCAGGCACACGCATTTTGAAGAATAAGTTAGTGTATTTCTAAAATAACATTTCATTTTTGTAGCTAGATGTCCATCATTATTAAAAATAAAGTTCAGACCTACAACTAGAATATACAACTAGGTACTGGGAGGCTTTGGGGAGAGGAAGAAGGGACAAGAAAAGATTGGCAACAGGTGTTAGCTCAGGTGCCAATCTTTAAAAAAAAATTAAAAAGTTCAATTAAGAGTTTAATATAATAAAATAAAGATGATTAACAACCTCACCCAAGTTTTATACAGACATGGGACTTTGGAATAACTTTTCTGAATACCAAGAGTAGAAAACACCGCGACTGAGTGGACCAGGATATTAACCAACTGCAAGATTTCTAACAGGCACATCAGGATCCTGCTATAGTTTTCTTATCAGTAACATGACTTATCTAAAGGAAAACTTCAGAAAATTCTACAGAGAGGTTCCCCCACCCCACCTCCGGGAAAACTGCCTAACCCAGCAAATGTGGATTGACCTGCAACTGTAATTTTCGTCTTTGTTTCCCAGAGGCCCTATCTACGGTCACCTCACCCATTGCCGGACCAAAGAATATGAGCATCTGCCTAAAGTAAAGATACTTAGAGGTTCTTATGGATTTGGGAAAGGAAGAATTTCCACATCACATCTGGGTAATAGGGTAGTAGCCAGTTGCACAATTCATACCCCACACCTACATGTGTGTGTACACTTGCACACTGCTCAACTTGACCCACATGCCTAAGATTAAACTAAAATTTAGATTTCAAAAAGTGTTCCCAAGCCTCTCTACCAAAAAAAAAAAAAAGCATGCTAGTGAGGAAGAATAAAAGAAACTATATATGAATTGATGAAAGCAGCTTTTCCCCAAGTAAATACTGATATTTGCTGAGGTATGCAGATGCAAGTATGAAATTAAGGAGAGGTAACATCTCAGCATAAGGAGAACCGTCTGAGTCTGATCAAGGACACAGAACTGTGAAAAGAGTCGAACCTGCTTCTTAGCTGTCCTAGTAAATTTCTTTGATGTGTTTTGAAAGTGGCCAAATGTTTCAGAATTCTGTGTTTCTGAATGAACCCAGATGCCTTTAGATTTAAGTTAACCAAAAGTCAGAGCTAGTAAGTTGGAAAGTTCTCAGTTTGGGAGTGGGAGCCCTTGTTTCCAGATGCAGGTGAATTTCAGACCTGACACAGGCTATGTATCTGGGCTGTGTCACAGCTAAACTTTTTATGCATTTCCACTCTTTCTTGAAAAAATAAAAAATCCAGGGCCAGCTCAGTTGCTTAGTGGATAAGTTCACACGTTCCACTTCGGTGGCCCATGGTTTGCCAGTTTGGATCCTGGATGTGGACCCACGCGCTGCTCATCAAGCCATGCTGTGGTAGGCATCCCACATATAAAATAGAGGAAGATGGGCACAGATGTTAGCTCAGGGCCAGTCTTCCTCAGCAAAAAGAGGAGGATTGGTGGAAGCTGTTAGCTCAGAGCTAATCTTTCTTAAAAAAAAAAAAAAGCCATCCTCTGATCACAGCAGACCGAATTCAATAGACAAATCATTAAATCCAATTCATGAACTTTGCCATCCCAGGGTCCTGTCAACTCTGATATTCAATTACATATCTTCAGTTTCAGAAATTTCTCAGTGGGTGCTGTCCCTTGAATGTGGCCTCTAGAAGCCCAATAAAAGATGAGAAAGGTTAAAGTATATGGGAGTTTACCACCAGAAGGGAAACTTACTTGATTTGGTTAAGACATACTATCGGAATAATGAAGAATGGACCCACATCCTCTCCATCATATCCAAGAAGACACTAATGACATGTTTCCTGAAGGGGATTCAAGGAAAAGCATTATAGGGTGGTCTAAAAGGCAGAGCCGATTCAAACCCCTGGGCACATTTTATGTTTCCATTACACATTATGTGCCAAACCTTTTAGGTCATCCATATGCATAGATGGGGCAAAGAGAAAGACATATTTACTAGGTAAGTCTAACCAAATACCTGGAATTAACTCAGACCTTTGTTATCTTCACTGGAGAGAGACTCATACCTCATCTTTATGCAAGCAATAGCTGATATTTGCAATATTGTGCAAACAGTGCCAGGTATTCACTCCATCACAGGTTTTCAACCTAATCAAATGAAAAGGAACAATTAAACAGGAGATCCTAGTTTTCAAAAGGCTGAGTCATCTAATATCCATAATAACTTCAAAATTGAAAAAGAATGTGCTGCCTGTCGGGCGATCTCCGTCATTTGAAAAGGTTGGCAGTGGCTGTCATGAGCCCCGGTTTAGCTTGTGTATCACAGGGAATCGCAGCTGCCTTGCAACACTGAGCTGTTATTTCAAACTGGTAATTTGTTCCTTAAATCTGAGTATTCTGTGGTTTTGTTAGACACCTAACACGTGTAAAATGATGCTTTCCTGGGGTGAGTAGGTTTTCTTCTTTTCTTCTACTTGACCTCATCTGAACCATAGAATAATTTTCTACTGAGCCCAACTCTGTGATGTCTTCCTGAATCCTGCCACTGGGGACATGACCCCACTTGGGAATGGAGTGCACTGGGATTGAGAAGGGACCTCACTGGCGAGGCCACATGGTGTCAGGATGAGGTCCAGAGTCACAGAGGCAGAACTAGGTTCGGAGTCCTGGCTCTCCCGAGTTTTTGCCAAGAACAAGTCCCGTAAGCTCTTGGAGAGTTTAGCTTTTACGTCTTGAAACTAAGAGAGTTGAAAGTGATCTTTAAAATACTTCCCAGCTCTGATTCTACAGTTAATAAAATTCCATAGTAATGGCACGTGGAAGCATTTTATGAACTTCAAAATGAGATTATAGATGTTTTTTCATTTAGCATTTAATCTTTAAGTGCTATATTTTTCGGGCAAAAGATTTTAAAAATGAAAGCATGTCAAACCACAGACCTAAACCTCTTATTGACAGATGAGGAGACCAGTGGCATATTCTCCTGGGCCTTTGTGCCCTTTCACCCTTCCTCTCATGTTAAAGCCAGAGCCTTTATGTAAGTCAGTGGAAGCCTTATGTTGTTTCAGTAAACTAATTTCCTTTGGAGATCATCAGATCCAGTGTTTTTCAATCAGTCGTTAGTCAGGCCTGCCTGAGGGTGCACATATTATCTTGAAATCATTTTAATCGGGTCCATCCTGGAACCCTCCCTGAATTATTTGCCTTGCATATGATTCCTGTATGTTGCCTGAATTTAAGATTTCTATTCTCTCTTTCTCTCAAATGCCTGTTGCAATTTTCATGAATCTTTTCACATGGCCCTTATTTTCACACACAACCAAGCAACATAAGAAATCTGAGGCTCATTGTGATAAAGGTGTGTAGCATAGTTGCATGTGATCTAAAAGCTGGTTTAAGATATGGTAAGAAGTGACACCAAATGTTCTGTACCTTACTTGTATACAGTTGATATGGAAAAAATATGAGTATTATATTTGACACTATACAGTAAAAATGTTTCTCTAAAAATATTGTTCGAGACATCTAGCCTAAAACTGATTTGTTCAAGCAAACCGATATGAGGGGACCTTTCAGTTTTGTTAGATTTGATTACATTGCATTCTTAACATGCTTAACCTTTAAATTTTACTTTGTTTACTGTGCTGAGCACTCATGATAGATCTTTTACTGTGGTTAGTTTTATTTGCTTTCATTTTATTTTTTTTTTATAACCTGTTTTTCCTCTCCTGTCTACCTGATGATTTTTGAATTGTTTGTCTGTATATAGCTATAGACATAGATGCTACTGGCTTAGATGCAGAAGAAAATGATATTCCAGCAAACCACCGCTCCCCTAAACCCAGTGCAAACAGTGTAACGTCACCCCACTCCAAAGAGAAAAGAATGCCCTTCTTTAAGAAGGTAACATTAACTTCCAAGCTCCCATCTGTCCACCTGCTCAACTGCACTGCGTCACATTTCTAGTCCTGTTGACTGTCTGCGTCCTTTGATAAGCCAATAACATGCATGCTCTGTTATTCTTTGTTTCTTTTCCATGCTGCTGTAGCTAAGCAGAAGCAGAAATCGGTAAGTTTACATTGACATAAGCTGTGTTTATCCTGCCACTGGCATCATTAGCATTAAATCCTGCAGTTTTATTAAATACAGTCATTTCTGTCCTAAGAGGAAAAAAAAAAAATCCTATCAAACAGCTAATTGAATCCAGGCATTTCAAACCAACGAAATTCAGTGAGTGACCTGTGGAAGCACCATTACAGTACTTATCCTTTTTGATGGAATAATATCTGCCACCAAGGGAACTTGTTTAAACATTCAAGGATGTCAGACGCTGACAACTCCATATATGCACCTCAATTGTGCATGCTTATTCTGTCTGTCTTTGTTTCTTTCTTTTTTCCAGAAATTTAACGTATAATCAAGCATTTTTAAACCATTATTAGATTCTGATTTATGATATCCAGATACATAGCTTGTACTAAAAAAAAAAAATTCTTCAATTTTTAATTTAGTCAGTATTTAAACTTCTAATCCACTAGGTGCAAAATCTGCAGATGAACAAGACCAGTGGAAAACTGCAGGCTTGTTTTGGCGGTTTACTGTGAGTTTTTCCTATTGTCATATATAAATACTCTCCCGATGTTCTTGCCTCCTCCATCAGTCAGATGTCAGCATCCCACCTGTTGGACTGTGGGGCGGTGGCCATGTGTACAGCCCTTGCCACTGGCCCACCAAGATGCTACACAGCGATGCTCCTTGTCCCCTGACTTTCAGAAACCAGGGTATTCCTCAGCTCTCTTTACTGCAGACCAAGTTTGTTTCTTTTCAGCACCTTTTGTAGCTTTAAACCATTATTTTTTAAGGATTCTCCCCCCCACACAGTTTCCTTTCTTTCTCTTGTTTTACACACCACTTTTCACAGCCTACTATGCTATCTTTTAGGGTCTTACTTCCTAATGTCACCAAGTCCGGCACAACCATGGGTATATTGTGACACACAGGTGTGGAGTAAAGCCTACTTTGCCCCAAATTTCCAACATCCTGAACTCTTTTCGTCTGCACACAAGTATTTTGCGCTGTGGAAGAACTCTAAAGTCATCCATGAGGTGTCAGATACTGAACTGTGAAGTTGTTGGTTTTGTTTTTTTTTTAATAAATTATGGTTACTTTAATAATGGAAGACCTTGGCACTCTAGGCAAAAATGGAAACACCTAGATTTTTGTGTTAACACAGAAAGCCCCAGCTTGATGTTCATCCACAACAGTGGGCCCATCTTTCTGGTCCTGTCTTCTCGTCACAGCTAAAACTTGCAGCCAAGTGACTAACAGTGTTCCTGCTGCAGAAGCCCAGAAAACCAGCATCGCTTGGCTGCTCTGGATTTTACAGAGTAATAACATGAACTAAAACCGTGGTAGTCAAGATAGGTTTTTTGAAGTTTGCTTACTCTTAAATTGCAAAACTTTAAAAATGTTTATCACAGTTTTTCTGCTAAATAAGTGAAACAAAAGGTTAGCAGGAAAGGGGAGATAAAATGATGGCGTCATTATCAATAGGGCACAAAGTACCAATATTCCATCAAATATGGTAATTTCTGTAGCTACCCTATTGATTAAGAAGCTGATTGATTATCAGCATGGGTAACCCCTTGCTAGTTGGCAGTCACAGATCAAAGGAACAAAGACCTGTCAAATACTGGGCCACTTAAGACTTAAAGGCTTGACATAAAATTTCTTGGTAGCTGTTACTAAAATGCATGCAATTTATATTCCTAATTCTAATGGTGGAAAAGGTATTCTTATGCTGAATTGCTATAAGGACTTGGCTTCTAAACATGTTCGGTATGATCCCAGGTGATATAAATGGAATAATTTAATAAATATGCTTATGATGCCTTGGGCGCTGGTATTCATTCTTCTTATGTTATTGATTATGTGGTCAACTTCAGGGTAGAGTTCAAAAGCAAAAAAACAACCTGAGATTCAATGATAAGATTGTTGTCCATGTTTTAGGTTGCTTTTAGAGTGATGCTTGTGTGGCATTTGTGCTGTCACTGTATTGTGTTTGTCTTGGTTTTTTTTTTTTCTGTTTAAAAACGTATTCTACCTTTATTGTGTCTACTAAAATTAATTTTGAACATTAGGTAAAATTGTAAGGAGTAAAATTGGACAGCACAGTCACAGTAGTATTTTCTCCCCTCTGATTATATTTGTCTATGACTATTGGTGAAATCTCAGATGGAAGCTTTTGAATTTGAAATGCTTTTTAATTTCCCCCTTATGTAGCTAAATTTGGTTGAAGTCAGAAAGTTTTTGGAATGGGCAATTTTAAGCAATAATAAAATGTTCTTGAGCAACAGGCTGATGCAAAAATTACATTCACATTTGCACATGTTTATCAAATTCTTAAAATAGCTGAAAGAATATTTTTCTTTTGGTCTATGAGAGTCCTAAAATAGATTTTTCCAGATACTCCTTAATGCAGAAAGATTCATGTAACAATGATTTGTTTATCCCAGTGTCTAAGGCCATCTCTGTCTCTCTTCTGCATTAAAAAAGTCATTTGGGGGGTCACTTTAACATTTCTGCTATTGAAATGTCCAATTTTAATATAATCAAACAAATTAGCTGTTCTCTATTTTTTGGGAAAAATTTTATTTTAATCATTTGATTTGAAGCAGTTAAGCCAAAAAGTTTTGCAACTTTTTGAAATTGCTGCAAAATTTAACTCCTCCCCCTGCTCTTTCAAAAACGAAATAAACGCTGGTGGAAAGGCATGAATTAGTTATGTGACAGAAACACTGCCTAAACTGCTCTTGAGAAGCATGTTAGAGATGCACGTTGATAATGAACCTTTTGAGGCCACCAAAGCGTGCTTGATTATCATACACTAACCACCTTTCCTTCAAGACTCATAAATCTTACCTAGTAAGTTTTTAAGTGTCAGGGTATAGAAACCCCAAATCCAAAAGCATCAATCACTAAGCCGTGAATAGAGATCCTGATTCCTGTTTCCTGGAACAAGCTTGCATGCTAAGTTAAACTCTCACAGTAAAATAGGAATTTTCAAGTATTTGGTAATGAAAGTTACAATGTTTTGATATTAGCTTTTATCCAGGTAAGACAAGATCTAAGAAACAAAGATAAGAAGACTTCTCTTCTCTCTGTAATTAACTCTATTAGGTCTGATCATTTGACTCTTCAGAAAACTCAAATGCATCTGAAAAGCAGTATTAACTTCCAGGCGAGCCTGAAGCACCTGTTCTGCATGCATGTTTCTCTCTGTTCTACCAGCTAGTTTTTGTTCAAAAGCAGCATCTCCTGCTTTCGCAACTGGTATGTCAGGAGCATTTCTGGAGGAGAGCAAGGAAACTGTAGACAATTCAGTAACTTGAAAACTTGAGGAAAATAAACCCACCAGTCTTTGATTGGGTTTATTTAGAAAAGAGGCAAGCAAGAAAAAAAAATGAAATGTCTGGAAAGTTAGTGCCTTGTATTACAGAGTTCAGAAAGAACAGTTTATACATAAAATATTGAAGTTCCCCATGTCTGTTAAACATCTGAAGGCCTCTCGTCTCTCTGCAGACAGAGCACACTCCTCCTTATGACGTGGTACCTTCCATGCGACCAGTGGTCCTGGTGGGCCCTTCTCTGAAGGGGTACGAGGTGAGTAGCTGCCCTCTGGAGCACCTTCGCATGCCGGACTGCTTGGTGGCTGCACCTCCCTGTCCTGACTCCTGAATTTAGCACCCAAAGAGCTCTAGCAGCAGAGCACGTTGTTTTTCAAGCTGCGGTATACATTGCTTCCCGTTTTGTTCTCTTGTCTGTTGCGTTGGAGATTTCTGCTACCTACAATTTACTTGGTTCCGGGGAAATAATATCAAATGGAGAGTGACTGACACCACTTGTGATGTAATTTACTGTCACTGAAAGGATAAGTTCAGGGAACTTTGTCTCTTTAATGGTCATTGTATCAGAACTGAGCAACAGAAAAATGTGGCAACATCAATACTGCTTTTTCCAAATGGGAAGCCCAGGTTTTCAAACATTCTTAAGAGGAGTAAAATTGTTTTATCGCAGTTAGTAATATTTTTATCGTATCTTAATTTATTGCTTGCTCAATTGCAGGTCACGGATATGATGCAGAAAGCATTGTTTGATTTTTTAAAACACAGATTTGAAGGACGGTGAGTATTTCAGTATTCTGGGTTCTGTGCATTCTGCCTTGCAGAAGGCAAAACCGAGTGGGACAGGCAGGTGATCCCAAGGGAAAACTACTCTCTCAAGTCTCTATGGTGATGGGAAATAAGTTCCATTCAGTACAGTCTGATTCAATAAATATTTGTCGTATTTGCTCGGCATGTCCTCAGCCCTGGGTGATCCAGGTCTCTGTTCCTGCCCCTGCATCCGTGAGCTGAGCTTGGCCATCTCCCTGCTGACTAGTCTCACCCTAAATTCATGATCAACCGGCGTGCAGTGCTGCCCAGAAATCATGCTAAATATCCCTCTTCCATTCTCTTTTCTATTCTTCTAAAAGACCTTCGTACCATCCCCTCTCTCCTCAGATCTCTAACACCTCCTTCTCATCTCGCTTTCCTCTGATGAACCTGCTTCCTATTTCACTGAGAAAATTGAGGCAAACGGAGGAGCACAAGACTCCCCACCACCTCACCTATCCCTACTTGCATGTTTGCCTGAGTGCTCTGCTTTTTCCTCCTATTACCACGTTCCTAGCAATGGCCAAACCGGCCACTTGGGTGCTAAATCCCATTCCCCATCCCCACCCTGACACGGCCATAATGATTCTTTCCTCTCTCCTCATCAGTATTTCTCGTTCTAATGGAAACACCATCAGAGTACAAAAATGTAGTTATTGCTCCTTTGACAAAAAGTTTGACCTCACATTCCTCTCTAGCTGTCCCACTTTTATCTTTTTCTTTGCAGCTGAAGTCCTTGAACAACTTGTGAATACTCGTTCTCTTCTTAGTCTCTTGATAAGCCTGCTCCAGTTATGCATCCATCGCTCAACCAAAACGAGTCACACCAGATTACCAGTGACCTTCATATTGCTAAGTCTGGGGGTGAATCTTCAGTCCTCCACTCAGTTGACATGGTGAACTACTCCATCCTCCTTTAAATACTTTATTTGCTTGGTTTCTGGAGCCACACTTTCCTGATTTTCCTTCTATCTTACTAGCTACTCCTTTGTCTCTTTTCTGGTTCTTCCTCATCAGCTAGATATCTTGGAGAGCCCAGGGCTGTCCTTCGGTCTTCTCTCTCTTTTGTCTACACTCGCTTCTTTGGTGATTTCATTCCATGTCAGACACTTAAATAGCATTCCTTCTCTGGTCTCTCCTCTGAATTCCAGACACATTTATCCAGCTGCCTCTTCGACATCACCACCAAGATATCTAATGGACTTCTCAAACTAAACCTCCCAGTTCCCCCCCAAAACCTGCTCCTCTCATAGTCTTCCGTATCTCAACTAATAGCTTCTTCATCTTGCAGTCCTAGGGTCCTTCAGCCCCGCATCATTGAATCATCTTGACTGTTCTTTTCTCTCACATCCCACATCCAAATGCTAACAGTCTGTATCTTCAAAATATATCAAGAATATAACCACTTCTCACACATCCTCTGCTATCCTTTTGGTCTGAGATACCATCATTCCCTCCTGAATTATTGCAATAAATAGTCTCCTAACATGTATTCTTGCTTTTATGATTGTTCCCTTAAAGTCTGTTCTCAATTCAGCAGCCTGTTAAACTATGAGTGGGATCTCATCACTCCTTTGTTCAGATCCATCCAGTGACTTCTCTTTTCACTCAAAGTGAAAACCACAGTTGTTACAGTGACCTATAAGACCCTCTATGGTCTGACCATCCACACCCCCAACCGCTGATTACCTTTTTCACCTCTTATTCTCTCCCCCTTGCTCATTCTGCTCCTGCCGCGCTTCCTTCCTTGTTGTTCCAGGAGTGTTCCAGACACCCAGATACATGCCCATCTCAGGGCCTTTGCACTCGCGGTACCCTATGCTAGGAACACTTTTCCCTCAGATATTCTCCTTGGTATATGTGGGTGTGCGTGCACACCCACGCGTACACACACACACACACATTCTCTCTTCTTTCCTTGACTTTTTTCCTATAACTCTTTTATATATTTCCTTTATTAATTTTGTTTGTTGTCATTCTCTCACAATTAGAATATAAACCCCGTGAGGGCAGGGGTTTTTTAATCTGCTTTGTGAACTGTGGTGGTCTCAATGCCTAGAACAACCCTCAGTGTGAACAATGAATGGATGAATGTTGAATAAATGTCTGCTCTGTACTTCCTGTTAGAGAAATGCAGAGATGTTGAAGCCATTCACTGTCATTGCCTATGAGGAGCTCATATGTGAATCATAAACTGAGACCTGGAGTCATAGAATATAAAGTAAATGAAAGGGCAGCTTGGCACTTGTGTGTCCAAGATACAGGTAACATAAAGGGAGGAGGGATTAACACTGACTTAGGGATGTCAACATCCAGGAAGGGTTTTCAAATGGTACCTAAGATTTCACCAAGTGAATTAGTAGGAGGAGAAGGGCATGTCCAGCAGAGGGTGTAAAGCATGTGAAGGCATCAAGATATGACACAGCATCATGTGTAAGGCAAGCCATCTAGAGGTCTTCAAGTCAAGTCTCTAGACAGAGTGATTGGTAACAAAGCTGGGGCCATGTCTAGTGTGCCATGTTAATCAGCTTGGACTTAATCCTTTCCCTCTGCCCTCAACTTGTTTCAACAAATACTTCCTGAGCAGAGTCTAGTCTATGTGCCAGGCATTATGAGGAGCAAGATCAGACAAGGGCCTTGCCTTCGTAGAGCTTACTTATAGTCTATTGAAACGCAGCCTTGAGTCAAATAACCAGTGGACGTCATAGTAAACGTTAAGGCAACTCCTGAAGCATCAAAGATAGGATAGGAGTTTAAAATGGAAACTTCCAAATTTAAACTAGGAGTAGATTATCGGGGATCTGGGAACATACAAGGCTAGTGTATGTTTCTGTATTTTTAACAAGATGAATTTGGTTCCTCTCTTCTCCACATTCCTTTCCTTCTCTATAAGTACAATAGAGGATATCTGTAGGCTTCAGTGTTCTTTCAGATTTCTTGATATAGTATTTTCTCTCTTGACCACACCTGCTTCTACGGCCATTTCTAATTTATATTGACTTTTGACAAGAGAGGCAAGGACAGAGAGGGAAACCTTTATAGCAGGATAAATATTGTTAGTTACTAATCAAGCAAAAGACTGAAAGAAACAGAAAAAGGAAAAAAAGAATCTATGTTCCAAGGTAAAATAAGACTTTATAATCAAAGTTGACCTAACCAAATGCTCCTTGTTAGATTTTCTTGGTTTTCCGTGTCTTTATGAAATATATTTTATTTTGTGCCAGGAAACACAGCTTGGTCCTTGGGCCTTTGGCTGGGTCCAGGTCTATCAGGCTCTGGCCAAGTGTAAAAGCCATACCTCTAATCAGGCCCAGTTGGCTTTCACTTCTTCGTTCTTGGCTTTGTCATTTATCACAATTTGGAATTGTCTTCAGGAGCGTGCATACCCAGAAAATTCTGCTAGACTGGGCACCATGCTTTCTGTGGCTGCGTTAACCCACTGCCCTTTCCTAAATGCCAAAGATGGGGAGATGAGATGGAATTTCCTGACTTCCCACTTCTTTTTAAACCTGAGTTAAGTTTGGAATTTGAAAGATAGATCCCAGCCATAGGGTGTATCTTGGACCGGTGTTCTAAAGTATCAGCCATTCAGATTGATTTCATTTAAGAAACAAATAAAATCTGAATGTCGTATCGCTCTTTTGTTTCTGGCCAGAAGTAATTTTCATATGGCTTTTTTAATGGACCTGCCTTGGCTCGTCTTGACTTTTAGCACTGAAGTTGAACACTCTAGCCTGTGATCACCAATTAAAGCTCCTCAAAGGAAGTGATAGGCTCCATAAGGCAGAATATTTCAAAAAGCCATGCAAAAATTTAACTTTTTTACCCATGGCAAGACATCCAGAGCAACTGAATCATTAAATGTCTTTGCTTTGGGCAAGCCAAGACAGCAATAGAGGGTGGGAACCCATCAAAAGTGTCAAGTATGTCTAATTCTAAATAGACACGTAAATTCTAAAAGGGAAAAATAAATTACTCCTTAGTTTTCTATTAAGTAAACTAAATTCATTTAAAAAAAAATTTAAAGCCTAAGAGGCAGAAAATATGAAAGGAAGTATTAGTGATGAAAGAGTCTTGATAGGAATTCTTTTCTGTTCTTAAACCTAGTTAAGTGCATTTGTTGAAGCCCTGGAGAGTTGGCAGAATCATGATCCTAGTTAAAATAGCGTAAGTGTGTCAGGTCAAAGAAGATGATAAATCGTTATCCTTTCTGTTGTGTGCAATAGAATAGACCATTTAAATCAAATCCACCCTAACCAACTATGTCATGTAAACAAAGCAATCTTCAGATTCACCTTGTAGGACAGTGACAGGTAAATTAACAACAAAATTGAGGGCAAGAAGGAAAGCGACCATCAGTGATGAATTTGGTTTTCCTCCCCAGTGACTTTGAAAATGTCAGCTCCTAGCGCTGAAGTGTTAGAACGTGAACTGAACTGCTGTAGGAATATGTACATGTTGAATCGCACACATGGGAATCTTATTGGAAATCAGTCATCCTGGGAAACATCACATCACTTTATTTTGTCGTATGGGAAACTTACATAGAAACATCTTCTTCTAAACTGGTGGTTTTGTACCCTGGCTGCATGTTAGAATCACCTTTAGTGCTTTTAAAAATAATACGAAAGAAAAAACAAGGGCTTATGGCCCATCTGTGATTACTTGAAACCAAATCTCTAGGGTGGGACCTAAGGTAACTTTGAAAGCATATGTGGCAATTTTGTTACACTGTGAGAGTTGAGAGCCACTCCCCTAAACTGAGTTGTCCCCAGAATTTTGCCCTTAGGATTTTCAAGATCTGTTTTTTGGCAGAACCTCAGGTAATGACAATTCCCAAAGCATAGCTTAAGGAGTTGGAATAGGATAGTGGCCTGTCTTCTCAGTCTACAAAGCTAACCACGTGAGCAGGGAGTGGACGCCCGGCTGAGCAATACCATATGCAGAAGGACAAAGCATGTGGGACAAAGAGGAAGATGTATTGTTAGAGAAAATCCTCCCCTTCCGCTGAATCGGTTCCCCCAGGCTGACTGTGAGACACTCCTGAGCAGGTTTTGTCCTTCTTGTCCCCACTGTATCCCCAGGGTGGTGCCCAGCACAGGGCAGCCCACCTCCCAGTGAGTGTCCAGGGCTCCTTAGAGGCACAGACCCAGATTCTGGTCATCAGTAGCGTGTGGTCCACTCAGCTGGACTAATGTAATGCCCAGCCCTTTAGGTCCTCACTCTTACCTCAGCCCACGATATCCACGTGGCTTATTCTCCCACTTCCTTCAGGTCTCTGACCAAAGGTTTCCTTTTCTGAAAGGTCTTCCCTGAACACCAAAAATACACCCTCCACGGCACTCCATCTGTATCCTCATTATCCTACATTATTTTTAATGGCATTTATCACCACCTGACATAGACATCTGTCTGCTTCCCTCCACCCCACAAGAATTTAAGTCCCATAAGAGCATCCTGAACAATGATTGGCACAGAGTGAGCACTCAGTAAATCTGTGTTGAATGAGTGACTCCCTCCATGGCCAGCAGGTGCTCGGCATAAAGGGAATACTTTTGCACCACCCTACCCTACTACACCCCCCCAAAATAAAAACATTTGAAAACAGTGACAAAGCCTTGGATTGTTCCCACATATAGCCTGATTTCACTTGTGAATGCATTGTGAAATAATAATGAAACTAAATATTTTTAAATTGATGGGTTTCGTGTCACTTTTCTGGTTATTGCTTTTTACATGTTAAATAAAATTTTCATCAAAGTACAAAAAGCTTAAAAATCAGATAGACTTATTTTTTAAAAATAGCAATCTCACTCAGCCATAAAGAGAAATGAAACAACAACATGGAGGAATCTCAGATCCATTATGCAAAGTGAAAGGAGCTCAACTCAAAAGGTTACAATGATATTCTGGAAAAGGCAAAACCATAGGGATGGAAAACAGCTCAGTGGTGGCCAGGTTGGGGTAGGGAGGAGGACCGACCACAAAGGGGGGGGGGGGGCAGCACAAGAGAATTTGGGGAGGTAATGGAACTATTTTGCATCATGAATGTGGTGATGGATACAGAACTCTATGAATTGGTCCAAACTCTTGGAATGAGACACCAAAATGAATGAATTTTATGGTATATAGATAAATAAAAATATTTTTGCAAAAGAGCCAATAGTCCCTTTCCACACTTTACTAAATGTGCTGCTCTCCGGATGGCAACCACTTTTAACTGTTTTAGCTGTATCTTTTGGTATTCAATTTTGCCTCTAAATAATATGCTTCATTCACTACTAGAGTTTTCAGTGTTAGGCATCATCTATTGACTTCCTACCATGAAGAATATTTAGCTCTCTCATGCATATTCTTCCTGTCTCTCCTGTACACATACCTGCATGCATCTCATCCTCCGATCTCCCAACAGTTAAATCATAATTTTGACTGGCTCTATTTTTAGTATTTATTATGATCATATAAGTAATATTCAAATGAGCCATGTCATATACTATAATTCTTTTTTCTTGTGTACTTACTTTGTGGTTTCTATGAGATAAATAATTTTACTTTTTACACTTACTTAATGTTCTCTGTATTTGGCATTAATCCAGCCTCAAATTCTCCCCCAGTTGTCTAACTCTCCTCACAATGTATTAAAAGCATCCCGTAGTCTCTCAGCTTTGTCTTCTTGACCCTCTCTCTGGGAGCGTTCTGGCCTGCTCTCGTCTGGACAGTTTCTCTCTCTGCTGGGTGCACATTTGTCATTCAAGGACAGCCCTCATCATTATCCTTGGGATTCCTTTCACTTTCCTTTTGGGTTGGAGCCCATTTTTCCTAGATCCCTTGGTTTCTTTCAAGGTTTATCCTGTCATTTCAGTCAACAATGTCCTCCAATAGTTTCCCTAGAAAGAGTACATAAAAACTTCTTGAGACTCTGAATGTTTAAAACTGTCTTTAATCAACTCTCCCTTTTAATCGATAGTTAAAACAGCTATGGAATTTTGATTGGGATAATTTCCCCTCAGAATTTTGAAAACTTTTTGCTCCATTATCCTCTGGCTTCCATTGTTGCTGTTGAGAAGTACAAAAATTTCAGTTCCCGACCCTTCCTGTGGGACTGCCGTTTAGGTTTTTCTTTGTCCCCAGTGTCATGAAATTTATAAGAATATGTCTTGGTGTGGAACTTTCAACTTGGACTTGTGCTTTCAACTTGTGCTGGATCCTTTCCATTTGGAAAATCAGACTCTCAATTCTAGAATTATTTTTTCAGTTTCCTCTTCTCTGTTTTCTTGACTCCCTTTTTTCTGGAACTCTCGTCTGCAAGTTGAATCTCCTGAGTGTTCTCTAACGTTCATACCTTACTTCTCCTGTTTTCCATCTCTGCCTCGTTTGTTTTACTCTGTAGATTTTCTTTACTTTATCTTCTAGCCTGTCTTGTGAATTTTCATTTCTCACTGTTAACTATTTAATTCCCAAAACTTTTTCTTATCCTGAGTTTTGAAATAGAAATTTGTTCTAGTTTCATAGGTATAATCATCTCCTGGCTTTCAACTTTGAATATTATTCATTGTTGATTTTTCTCTTTGTTTTAATCTCTCATGTTAGAGGTTTTCCTAAGATGCCCAGGGAACACTGCTGTGCTCAGATTTAAGAATGTGGCATCAAATAATCAATTGGAAATTCTGTGCTCATAGGTGGAGCTTGTCAACTTTGTGCTTCCCTGAAGGGCAACATCACTGGACAATTTATATTGGAACCCACCAAAGTCATTGTCTTTGGGTCTCTTCTCTTTGGCGGTCAGAATCCCCAGAGAAGAATCTCCTGACACCTGAAAGATATAACCTTGACAACCAAAATTCTAAGATGAGGAAGAGGGCTGGGGGATCAGCATTTAGCATCCTTTCCTTTCCAAATAGTATGTATTCTCTGTCCCTGCTCTGCCTAGGGTCCCCTGGTCAGAGGCCCTCTGTTTTATTGCCTGTCAAGACTAAACTAGAGGTCTTACACCACATAGGGAAAGGATCACCTGGTGGGTTGATGTAGTACAGGGAAGGTGGTGACGTAATTCTGACACAGACTTTTAACCAAACCTTCCTCTTCTTCAGAGGTACTGTGAGCTTTTTGTTTGGCTCCACACTTTCTCCTACTGCCGGCTGGTATATGTGGCTGTCTCCAGTCTAAGTCATTTACTCTTTCCAGCCCCCAAATTTTGTTGTTCTCATTTCTACCCTATCTAAAATGACCCCTCAACTCATTATTGTCTGTCACAACACCTACCTCAGCTTCACAACAGTCATCTTAATCTTTAATTTTATTATTTTCTTATTTATTACCTATCTCTGCCACTAGACTCTTAGCTCTCTGAGGGAAGACCATGTTTGTCTTGTTTTTATTTATTCTTCATGCTTATCACAGCACCATACTTATGGGAGGGATTACAACACAAGGGCCAAGGATATAGGCTCTCAAGAGTTTGGGGTCAAATCCCATTTTTTGTAAATATATAGCCTTGGATAAATAATCTACCAATGGCTCATTTTCTTCCTCAGCAAAAGTGGGCTAATAATACACCTCTCTGCTAGAATATTTGGGATGATGTAAGGAGATAATCCAGGTAATGACATGATGCTTAGTCTGCGCCTGGTACCGGGTAAGCAACCATTACATACTAAGTTAGGTAGATGCGGGATAAAAAAAAAAACAATTATGTGCCCTAACATTTTTTGGTTTGAAAATATGGTCATGATATATATTTCATACTTAGATGAGTTTTGGACATGTGTTCTGTCTACTTTTATTCAATTAATAATCTCAGGGTGTTCTGTTACCTTTTCCTCAACAGGATATCTATCACGAGGGTCACCGCTGACATCTCACTGGCCAAACGCTCTGTGTTAAACAATCCCAGTAAGCACGCAATAATAGAGAGATCCAACACAAGGTCAAGCTTAGGTAAGTCTGGGCGCTGCTCATGAGCTTCTCTCCTGAGGCTGCCAATGAGAAGATCCAACTAGATGATAATTCCATGTGTCTTAGAGCAGAGGAGAAACAGACACATGTTGCCAGTGAGGGCAACATGCTCCAGTCTTCGTGATTTCATGGAACGGAGCGATTTGTTTTGATAGTTTGAGTTAAAAATTCCACAGGCTGTCGGCATTAATGTTTCGGTTGTGGTTTGTTCTCACTAATGTGAGCTTTGGTGTCTACAGACTCGAAAAACTCCTGGCTTTGCATCAGTGATACCATGAACAAGTTTATTCACCTCTTTAAGGCCCAGTTTCCTTATCTAAAAAAAATACATATTAACTATCTTGTAGAATTACTGTAAGGCTTAAACATAGTGTGTCTTCCATAAATGATGGCTACTATCTGAAATCCCTCAGTAATTGAATTATATCTGTGATTATATCGTAATTAGGATAACGTGTGTGTGTCTGTGTGCGTTGAGACTGATAAAGGATGAAGTCCATTCCTGGCCATTTTCCACTGACCTCGATATTCTTGTTGTACTTGTGAGAAGAGTTTAGAGATTTTAGTTAACGTGTTTACAGGGTGTGTCTGGATACTGTTTATTACCATGTACTAATTTGATGAAATGAGACCCTCTGGGAACTATTTCATCTCTTTGGCAAGTGCTTGGAGTTTTAGGTTAATCTCTGTTACGCATGTAACTTACTGTGTTGTTAGGTTTCTGTTTTTATAAAGTGAATTTTCTCAGGGTTGTGTGAGATCTTTGATTTTAGTTAATTTTTTTCTGTTTATATGTTAAATATATGTCTTATATAAACTATAAATATAAATATATAAAAAGATGTAAATATATATCAAATATGTAAATATAAGACTGGCTTTTAACGTAGTTTTTAGTTCATTCTGGAGTATATTATATACATCATAGAGAAACTATTAAAAATAATAAACTTTGTTAGTAATGAATATAATACTTCATAGAATTTGGTGTTCTTCGTCACCTAACAACTCTTCATTGACTAAACTTCAGTAGTATAGCTTTAGAAATATATTGAGGGGAAAATGTGATCATATGTCATGTTAACAGTGATTTCTTTTCACATCCTTATCATCTGTGACCCTTAAACCTCTTTCTGTACATTTTGATGCTCACGGTAATTGTTACGGAACGCCCATTTCATTGATTCAACTGATTGACAAGGTCAAGCGATGTGTTTGGACTCATCAGTTGAATCAGCATAAGAGATTTGTTTAGATTGCCAAGGCTTTTTGTAACTACTAACTATATATTATTTTAAAATGCACAGACACTGCATATCATGCTAAAGCCTGGGAATAAAAAGATGAATTAGATGAAACCCCTGCCCCCAAGGAGCTTGGTGTAGCAATAAGCAAACTTAACAGCCCATGAAGTAAGAGTGGACAGAAAGGTGGCCGTGCATTGACCTGGTTGCCAAAGATCAGGGGGTCATAGGCCCCTGGGCAAGACTTTTCCAGGGAGCTAAGCCTGAGCTGAGACTTGAAGCATGATAGCATTTAACCCCCCAAAAAATGGAAAGGGGTGGCGAAGGTGATAGGGATTTAACACAAGATCATCAAGAGACTTCTGGAAAATGCTGGTGCTTTCCTTTGCCTCAATGTTTGGTTTAAAAAAGAGGGAGGTGGGAGATGACACCAGAAAGAGAGGCAGGGGGAAGATAATAAGGAGTTTGGAGCTGAGGAGCGGGGAGTGAATTCATATGGGGAAGTCGGGGGAGGCCTCTCTGAGAAAGTGACATGTTAGCGGAATGATTTATAGTGTGAATGCCCAGCCTTGCAGCTACCTGAGGAAAGAGTGTTTTGGGCAGAGGGAACTGTAAGTGCAAAGGCCCTGAGGCAGGAGCACGTCTTAGATGTTTGTGGGATAGCAAGGGAGCCAGTGTGACTAGAGAGGGATAAGCAGAGGGAGATGAGGTCAGAGAGACTGTGGAGGGCTTGATCATGTGGCACTTTGCAGGCCTTAGTTGTGGATGTGGTGGGAAGCTGTAGGGGAGCAGAGAAGTGACACAATCTGACTTATGTTTTAGAAGGATCACTAACAGCATGATGGAGAAGAGAATGGACCAGGGCAAGAGTGAAGTGAGGGGAAAATTAGGATTCTGTTGAAGCAGCATCAGAGAGAAATAGTACTCTGTGCAGAAACTAAAACTCTGGTGCCTTTAGAAGAATCCCTGTAGCAGCAGGCCAGATTTGGACAGGGAAGTCATTTATGAGGCTGTTGTTGTCATTCAAGTTAGAGAATAAGTGAGGCCTGAAATAAGACAGTGGCAGAGGGAATGAGAAGAATGAAAGGAATCTAGAGAGAAATAGTCAGGATTTGGCAATCTATTGAATGTGGAACATGAAGGAGAGAACTCCCAGATGATTTCTAAGTTTTTGCTTTGAGGAGCTGGGTGGTTGTTGGTGTTACTCTGGGGCTGAGGGGTTCGGGAAGAGGAGCTTGTGTGAGGTAGTGGTCTGGGGAGGGACATAGGGAAGATGGTGGCTGCATTTGTAAACATGTTGTATTTGCGGTGTTAGGGAGCTTCCAGATATCCAGCAGGTAATTGTATACATAGATCTGGAACTCAACAGGGAGGATAAGGCTTAAGACGCCGTCAGTTCTCAATATTCGCACTAGTTATGTTCCATAAGGTCCCCGTGAACACTGAAGTAGCGAATACTGAGCCGTTGCTCTTAAGGAAAAAGCAGGGGGAGGTTCCTGCGAGCCACTGGTCACATTTTCATCAGCTGATCAATGCATAACCTTGTTTTATGCATGCTTCTGTTTAAAGACACCTCCTTTGATGTATACTGTTGATTCATTGACTTTGAAGTCACGGCTAACAGCTCTATAAATCACGCCTGCACAAAGCTTAGCTAACACATGTTTTCTCCATAAGGCACATCCCAGCCTTCCTGCTCTTAGGAACACGAGACAGCACTACACTACACTGGGAACTGTTTTAAATAGTCAAACCATGGGGGGGGGGGGAGGAGCACAAAATGAGAAAAACATGGCACTAAATAGACCAGCAAAAGGACACGTTTACAACATGAGATCCGAAACAGGAAGGCAGAGTGTAACTTGTTTGACCTCAGCTGAGAATGTGTGCATTGGAGAACTCCAGCTTTTTGCCACTGTTTGCATGTCCCTGCACAACTGCAAAATTGCCATGAGTGTTGATTGGGGCTTACAAATTAACTTTGGCCAGTAGGTAACTTTGCAGGTACAGAATCCACAAATCACAAGGATGGCTTGTACTTTATTTTTGGAAGCCATCAGTGTACACATGTAGCCAGAGAAGTGAGTAAAGGCAGGAGGGCAAGGCGAGCCCAGAGCCCTGAAGGGAACTAGCATTTGCCTGGTGGGCAGGGAAAGAAGAGTCTTGAGGAAGAACAGGAAACAGCTGCCAGAGCAGTGCAGGGAAAAGCACTGGAGGAAGAGCACACTGAGGGGAGAGATGTTCTAGTGGTCCAGATGCTAGAGAGGTCAAAGACGACGAAGACTGGCAAAATCTGTTGACTTTCCTGACAGGAAATTTTCATCCTTGACTTGGCACTTCACTCAAATAAAGCAGAGATTCAGAGGAAAGACGGTGGCGGTGGGTCCAGAGGCCACAGAATGGATCGGTGACCCACAGGGGCTACACCTGTCATCTGATCCTAGGAAACTCTGTATGCAAATGCCTTTTCTGATAGTTTCAAGAGGGGGAATGTGTGTGTTATATATTAACTAATTCTTTGTAAGTGTCAGCATTTTTAGTTTTTCTTATGGTAGCACTAGGACATGGGTAATTTGAAAGAGAAAAATAAGCCAGCAGGAGAATGGTCAGGGGATCCCCCTCCCCTACCAGTGTAACATGTTAGATCACGTGTGTGGTGTGTGGACTCTACTGTACAGGAAACGTGTTTAAGTTATAACTTAGTGCAAAACTGACACTTTAATACTCCAGATATGTAAGTATATGCTAGTCTTTAAGATTATTCATAGTACTAAATCCTACCATTTTTTCCATTTTCTATTTGGTAAAGTTTGCTTTTATCTTTATTTTATACTTCTTGCTTTTCTTAGGTCTTTCCTATTCTTGTTGATTTCAATCTAGCAGATTATTTAGTCTTTGAGTCCATTTCTCATCTCTAAAATGACACTAATACTGAGAACATATCTCTTAGGATGGTTGTGAGAAGCACATGATACAGTTTGGTAGCGCTTAGTAGCAGATCAGTCCATGGTGGCTTCTATTATTAGTATTTTGTTTGTTTTTTTAAAGATTGGCCCTGAGCTAACATCTGTTGCCAATCCTTTTTTTTCCTTCTTCTCTCCAAAGCCCCCAGTACGTAGTTGTATATTCTAGTTGTAGGTCCTTCTAGTTCTGCTATGTGGGATGCCACCTCAGCATGGTCTGATGAGCAGTGCTAGGTCCACGCACAGGATCTGAACCGGTGAACCCTAGGCCGCCAAAGTGGAGTGCGCGAACTTAACCATTCAGCCATGGGTTGAGTAGTTTTATTTTTAATTTTTCTAATGCAGTGTTAGTTTATGTAATTCTCTTCTATTTTATTCAATAACTAAAATATATGTTATAAATTTAGATCTGATATAAAGAAGAAATATCTCTTATAACTGAAAATTTTAATAACTAGTAAATAAATAAAACCTCACTGGATGGGCTCAATAGAAGAATGGACATGAACTTTGAGGACAGGTCCATTGAAATTATACAGTCTGAACAACAGAGAGGAAAAGATTGAAAGATAATAATAAACAGAGCCTCAGGAAGTGGTGAGACAGTACCAAAAAATCTAGCATCCATGTCATTGAAGTACCAAAAGGAGAGGAGAAAGAGTATGAGGCTGAAAATATACTTGAAGAAATAATGGCTTAAAACCTCATAAGCTTGGCAAAAGACAAAAACCTACAGATTCAAGAAGGTGAATGAATCCTAAATAGGATAAACCCA